TAATGTAACGAGTCATTAATTTCATTTTCGTATATTGAATGAATTGATCGGTTAGGGCTGTTGAAATGGTTCAGACTGGAATTAATATACAGACGCCTATCAAAGACTTAAAATGTATCATCCATGTATTAACAGTAAAACTCCATATTAGTAATTTGATCATTCAAAGAACTATTTTCCAATTTTGCCAAAAATATTGGATCCTATGAAGATCCAATAATCACTTTATCAACTTATCTGTACAGATCACTGTTGAAGATGAAGATGGACATTCATTGTACATTTCAGTAATCATTTCCTTCAAATTCATTATCAGATTGACAATGCCTAATAATGGTTCATAAATATAATCTACGGTTTCCATTAAAAGGATGTTAGCGAAGAAAGATGCGACACCTAACATTATTATTATTATTATTATTATTATTATTATTATTGAGATGTAATGATTACTTCGTTTAAAAAAATATTGTACTGAGAGTGAATCTGTTGAAATATTACTGTATCATATATATGTTGTTTGGGATAATGTGATTACTCAAGTTGGTTATCATCATGGAATGACATCAGTTGGGTGAATATTGGAAACATGAAAGCACTGGACAGCTTTCATTTCGTCCTAGTATGGAATTTTTCAGCAGTGTGCACTCACGAATCTGAGATCTTCAAGTTCTGTAACTAACACGTGTTATCCCATTTAGCCACTAAGCCAACAGAATCCAGTGGTCCATATTTCCAATGTCTATCAGTTCACAACATATGGCGACCATCATCCAATCTCATTGTTGAGTATTTATCCTCACAGTTACCAAATTTGTTACAATGGTCATTACTTTTGATTGGAACTTCTTCAATCACCTCTCAAAGCTAGTCACTAATGAGCATTGGATCAATTGAATTTGTGAGTTTGTGTGGGAATTAGAGATTTTTCAAGTTGTTACTCATCATGAACTGACGTCAATGGTAACATGCTGACCACAGAATCTGAAGGCCATGGGTTCGATCCCTGGAAGCCTGGATCATGGGTACTCAGTGCTGAGGAGTCTCAGTGCTCCTATGTTTGAAATGTTTCTCCAGCTGATGTCATTCAGTGATGAATACCAACTTGAAGAATCCCTAAATTCTCACAAACCCCCAAGTTCAAAGCAATTACTGTCATTATTATCATCATCATTATTATTGTTAAGAGTCTACTAAACTCCTGACTGCGTTACCAGTGACTTTCTTCCTTACTAACTGATTACAGCTTGATCAATAACTCGATTCTTGAATCAGAATACTTGGCTAACTCTGAGTCACTTCGCTCCACTAGTACAGTCCTACAAAGTTATTCATAGCGTTAAATGAAACATCATTATTAATATGATTGTTATTCTCTGTTGTTTTGTTAGATCGAATTGTTTGACCTCTATTGGCATATGAGCTGCTATACGGACGCCTCGAGATTACCTGGATCTTATTATTGATAATTCGTTTGGTTGTGGTTAGCAGAAGGTCTGACAACGAACGTTCCGCCTTACTTGGGACTCATCAGCTAGATGTACTTGCGCCCCAGTGAGGTGTGACGTTGTTCCCACCGAGACTCGAACCTCGAACCTCAAACGCCAAGGTACTATCCACTGTGCCACGGAGGCACGACAGCCATCTCTTGTACAAGGGGTATTAGTTATTACTATTTATCGATACACTTGTACTTCTTTATTGTTCTTTTTTATTGGAAAGAATTGTTCGACCCCTGTTGGCAGGCACATCCAAGTGACGAGTAAGTCGCAAACAGGATAAAACGTGCGTCCTAGATTCTTTTGTTAGCCATAACCAAGCAAATTATCATAATTAACAGTCAGACAATATCGAGGCATCTGAGAGTTACAAGTATACCAATAAATAGTACAAGAGGTGTCTATCATGCCTTCATGGTATAGTGGATAATACCTTGGCGTTTGAAGCGATGAGTATGAGTTTCTAGTCTCAGTAGGAACAACATCACTCCACACTGGGGTGCAGGTACATCCAACTGACGAGTGAGTCGTAAACAGAATGATGAGCGTGTTATAGATTCGTCTGCTAACCACACTCAAACAAATTATCATAGTTAAATGAAACATTTCAAAGGAAGTGAGGACTTGCCACCGGAACACAGAGGAAGCCTTAGTAATCCATCAGTTTAAACCTGATTTCTACTTTCAAAAGAGGCATATACATTCAATTTCTAATTCCATATTCATCAACATTACTTCTTTAAATCTTCTTTCGCTTACGAAGTAGCTATTAACTTCAACAGAACTATTCCGTTTATCTATTATGTATTATTCTAATACTTTATAGATTGTTACGCAATTCTAGCCGCAATTCACTAACACATTCTAAAACCGACTTGGTCTTGATTATTCAGACATTACCTTATAATGTTTAGAAAGAATTTTTAATGACTTTGCGTTAAAGACAGACTAGTCAAGAAGGAAAAAATATACAAATGTAAACCTACTGAAATTGATTCATCGAAAAGAGAGGAGAAAAATTATTTTTTTCTTCCTGTAAAATTGTCGTTTGTTAATTATTCATGACTCAATGTAATCAAATGGATGCTGAAATCCTATTTATTCAATTCTACGTCAACAAAGGAAACTGTGTTAAAGATAAATTGGTTTATGTTACATAATATCTGTCCCTTGGGTTTCTAGTGGAACATAAAGTTTCAGGCCTACACGACTGCCTACAAGCTCTGACTTCTTCTTCACATCATCTCCTCCATGTCACCCTCATCTCACATGCTCAACTTGTTATTTCCCGTCTGGGTTCCACTCGACGGCCTGGACTGATGCGTGATGTTCCAAGTCGACCTTCTCAGTGTATACCCAATCCATCTACACTCTCTTCTTCCGCATATTTGTTCAGTGATAGGTTCTTGGTTGGTTCGCTGCCAGCCAACCAGAGTTCCTCCTTGCTTATTCTTTCTCACCATATCATCGAATCTTCAGTATTGAGTGAGTGTAGGTGGCAAATGTTGATGAGTGTCTGTAGTTTGTTGGAAATGCTTTTCGTGATGCGCCAAGTCTCTCAACCATCACATGGATGCACTGACTCACTTGACTGAATTGGCAGTGTTGAAAATCCGGATGTTGTTCACACTTTATGCTGAGTGCAGTGCAGTAGATGTTCACACTGGTTTCAGGTTAATGAACGCCTGTCTTGTTTTCCCGATCCTCATGGTTTTGAACATTATTTGTCAGAAATAACAACAAATCCCTCTTTTGCACTACCATAACTCATTGAATATGTATATGTATAATTGTCTCAGGCATTTTCATATTTTTGCATAAACTTACGTTGAATTCACCTATTGAAATAATTTAGTATCTTTAAGTGTCTTTTCCTGAAAATTCAGGGTATAATGATTGATTTGGAAAGACTTCAGGAATTTTCGAATTTCTTCAAAGAATCTGAGGATTGTTATTGCACATATGGATACTAGATGATGATTACAGGTGGATTGAAAATTTGAGCCACAACGGGGTTCGAACAAGCGACCGTCAGGTTTCTTGCCGGGTACTCTACCACAACATAGCTATGAAATCCGGCTACTCATCATCAACATCACCAATATCAACATAGGAACAGGCATATTGAGTAACGGTCCGAGTTGTCACAGCTCAGTACAGTACATCAAGTAGTAAGGTAGTGAGGTGAAGGATGAAGATAAGAGAATACAGTCAAAAGAAATATTAAGTACGAGAAGAAAGAAAGGAAGAATGACAGAATGATGAGATTCGATATAGAGTCTTTAAGATGATGATAATGTGTATGGGGATACATCTGAGGCACTGACGTCGTATTTACACTGGCTACTCATTCAGAACATTTCAATGAAATCTAAATCCACTTGAATTAGAGAGGTGTAGCATTATATTGATTATAATTTTGCCTATTTGAGATAGGAACCATAATTTGACAAACTAATATTGATTCTGGATGATGACTTAAGGTAAAATGAAACCGAAAATCCTGTGTTCTCTGATCTAAATCTTACTGCAGCTGAAATTTCATTCCAACTTCAATCATTATCTAGTATCACTACAAGTCTTCCAAATTACTGCTATCTCAAATAATCAAAATGAGAACCTTGACGTATGTATATACAACCTAAAGTTCTACCTCAATGATCAGTTTCGCTTTATCAGTATGCGTAATTGGGTCAAATGGTTATAGTGGCGGAACAAACGAATGCTACAAACAAGATTTGATCACAATAAATAATGAAACATTCATACAGACAGCCTTCATAACAGGCAAGAGTAATCTTTCAATCTCCTTATACGGACAACCAGTAAGGGCGAATTCCTATTATAGGAGCTTATATATGTTGGATTCCGACACACTGACTAGATGACAACTTTCTCGCTGGGAAACGTGAAGATTCCAGATTGTACCTTTACTGAGAGGGCAGTCATATGGGTGCGCTCTGTTGAACAGTCCCATACTCAATAAGAAAAAAAAAACAACATTCCAGTACTCCTAGGATTTCGATGATCTCCTAATTGATGTCAATCCATGATGAATATCAATTAAAAAGTATTCAATTAAATTTTGAGGGGTTGTGGAGATTTGGAATTATTTCAAATTGTTATTCATCGAAGACTGACATCAGTTGGAGGAACAAAGGAAACCGGTGGAGTCAAAGCCTGATGGCCGTGAGGACAAATACTCAACGATGACATTGGGTGGCGGTTTGCGCTATATCGTGAGCTAACAGAAGTTGGAAATATGGAGCATTGGATTCTGACCCAGTGGCTCAATGGTAACGCGCTGGTCGTGGAACCTGAAGGTCGTGGGTTCGATCCCTGCTGGTGTGGTCGTGGGTGCGCACTGCTGAGGAGTCCCATACTAGGACGAGACAGCAGTCCAGTGCTCCCAGGTTTCCTTTGTCCCTCCAACTGATGTCAGTCTTCGATGAATAACAACTTGAAATAAAAAGTATTCATACTATAAAGTATAAGACTTACTTGAACATATAAGGGTTCAATACCATATGTTTCAAATTTTGCTGCATGATCAAGGAATTTGCTTTCAGCATCAGCCATTGACATACCCCTGAAAAAAGTTGTGCAAATAAAATAAAATTAATGTTGCCGAAGAAATGATTTTATCTAACCTTGGCGTCCAAAGGAGATGCGGTTACAGAAACACTGACACTGAAATTTAGAAATCTGATATAAAAAAAACCTTCTTTGTCGCCACAATGTCTAAAATTTATTACTCGCTGTATGATACCAATTCAGTTGATAAATACACTTCTGAATCTGGCCACATCTATGTGCATTTATGCATTTAACTGTTCCTGTGTAGATAGTTACATAGGTAGAACGATTTAACATGCCCACCATCTTTTCATTGAACACTGACCGACGTGGTTAAGCAAAGGAACAGTAAAACCAACCAAAAGTTCAATAATCACTTGTCCATTTAGTGGATACTGAGCATAAAATTGACAAAATCTCATGATTTATTATTATTTACAAAGTCGTATTACAATACTTTAAGTTTGTGTGCCTCCGATCGCTAAGCATGACAGAAGCTATTATATTACATTATTATTATTTGTCCCTTGGGTTATTAATGGAACATAGGGCATCAATTGCACGTCTCCATTCCACTCTCTTCTCTCCAATCTTTGCAACCTGACTCCACCACTACCCATTACCTTTCATTTCTTCCTCACACCATCCCCTCCATGTCACCGTCATCTCGGACGCCCAACTCGTCGTTTCTCATCTGAGTTCCACTCGACAGCCAGGTAAGTGATGTCCCCGAATGTTCTTCTCAGTGTATGCCCAATTCATCTACACTTCCTTATGCATAATTGTTGAGTGATAGGTTGTTGGTCAGTTGGTTCGTTCCCAGAGTTGCTTGTTGCTTATTCTTTCTGGCAATCCATCTGAGCTTCAGTAACCAGCAAGCATAGGCAGTTGGTGATCAATGTCTGTAGTTTGTTGCGGATGCCTTTGGTGACTCGCCAAGTCTCTGAACCATCACATGGAAGCACTAACTTCACTGAATTGGCAGTGTTGAAAATCCGGACGTCGTTCATGTTTTATGCTGAGTACAGTGCAGTAGATCTCCACACTGATTTCAAATAAACGCAGGAAGTCTTGTCTTGCTGTCTCTTTGATCCTGGCTGGTTTTGACATCTTCGTCTGTGCCGCCACTTATAGTTGAAACAGTGCTGCCTAGAAAAGTGAAAGAGGCTACTTTCTTTAAAATTTTCAAACCTAATTTACGTAATCAAAAGGTGTTTGTTCCTTCCCTTTCCATCCCATGGCCTTCAAATTCAACCGAGATACGATTACAATGAATTCCTTACTGGTCACCTGGATAAATGTAAATATTATCCTTGTTTGTACTCTTATCATTATCGAAAACATCTGTTTCCCAATACAAATTTAAAACAAGCAACAAACATAATTCATAGCAGGATTTATTCAATTCATCAACTGCAGTAAGAATCATCAGCTGTTTACTCTACCTATATGATTTTCTATGTATACTGTTGTACAATAAACGAATGTATACACACAATAATAAAGATTGAGGTATAGCAACATGGAATGAATCATTTAGTTATGTCAAACAGACCTAAGATTAACTAGGAAGAGGGTAATGAACTGATAATGAAAAACAAAAGGAGTAGGGATGGTTTACATCATTTTGAACACAACAATTAGTAGTCAACTCGATAGTATCATAAAGGTGCACATTAAGGGAACATAGGTGTGCTAGGTAAACAAAAATATTGATTATAATACTGACAACATAAGTGAGTGATAATAATGATGATGATAATGAGAATATGAATATTGAAAAGTTACACTGAATGACGATTGAAGATGACATGAAAATATGGACCACTGCGGGATTCGAACCAGCAACCGACCGAGGTTCCAGTCATGGTCCAAATTGTCATTTCATCTTCAATTAGCATCCAACCAGTATAGATACTAGTCTGCTTAACCACAGTTACTATCTCACTCAGATAGTCAAAATGTTTATTAAAAATTACATCATTTTGAAAGAAGGAAAATGAACATCAACTAAGAAGCCTGGTAACAGTGAACAACTAAAGGAGGTTACAGTAATAGTTGGAGGATAACAATGGTAATGGCAACGAAGATTATTCATTTGACCAGTAAACAGAGAAGTTTAGGAGGAAGTGGTAATGAACAGGTGAATGTGCGAAGTAGAGAAAGAAATAAAATCAAGAAAACGGGACACTAATAGAACTAAATAGGTTCAAAATACTTTGACACCTCTAACATGATAGATTCACGGTGACCTACCATCCTCTTTCTGTATACATAGGCTCGATTTACGAACTCCAATCGTATATGCTTCCATTACTAAGATCTTATCGTTTGTCAGCAGACAGCTGAACAAGAGAATGCCGAGAATATATGTAAACTTTCTTATTATCACCTTTACTGTTACCTTCTAATTCATATACCGGAAATAATTTGACCATGTTGATATCAAACGAAGACTATACTCAATAATTTGCAAATGTAAATATAAAACCTGATGAGAATTAACCGAAACTACTTATTTACTTCAAACAATATCTTATAATTATCATAATGTTATGCTTAATACATCATTATACAAGCATCTATCAAATTGAATCATGAAACTAACATCCATACTGCACTCCGTAAATTGTTGCACTTTCAAAGTACAACAAGACAATTTCTATGCCATACAACTCTGTCTGTCATTTTCCAGTCAACCAATTGTTGTTGCTCAAATAAAGGATAAGGTATCTAGTTTTGGGGATATGCTGGACCAGGGAAAAGATCTTAGAAGATTTGGATTTTTTACGCCAATGACTTATGTCTACAGGCGAAAACTAACAAGTTGACAGAAGAGGCAGGTCAGCGAAAACGAGACTTCAAGTGAACGTAGAGAAAACAGAGATGATGATGATACCCAACCAACGCCACCACAAACAACAACAAGCTCCAATCACCATGAACAGGAGAAACTTAAAGGAAGTAGTCTCTTTCATCTACCAACCTGAGAGGTAGCATCCCTTCAACTACAGGCGACATAAGCACAGACGAGGATGTCAAAACCAGCCAGGATTGGAAAGACAGCAAGACAGGCGTTCATTAACCTGAAACCAGTGTGAACATCTACTGCACTGCACTCAGCATAAAGTGTGAACAACATCCGGATTTTCAACACTGCCAATTCAGTCAAGTGAGTCAGTGCTTCTATGTGATGGTTGAGAGACTTGGCGCTTCATGAAAAGCATTTCCAACAAACTACAGACACTCATCAACAACCACCTACACTCACTCAATACTGAAGATTCGATGATATGGTGAGAAAGAATAAGCAAGGAGGAACTCTGGTTGGCTGGCAGCGAACCAACCAAGAACCTATCACTGAACAAATATGCGGAAGAAGAGAGTGTAGATGGATTGGGTATACACTGAGAAGGTCGACTTGGGACATCACGCATCAGGCCAGTCCCTCGAGTGGAACCCAGATGGGAAACGACGAGTTGGGCGTCCGTGGTGAGGGTGACATGGAGGAGATGATTTGAAGAAGAAATGAAAGCTTCTGGACAGTCGTGGAGCCAGGTTGCAAAGATTGTAGAGAAGAAAGTGGAATGGAGAGGTGGTACTGAAGCCCTACGTTCCATTAGGAACCCAAGGGACATATAATAATAATAATAATACCAAGTTTCGGCATTTCTATGTGTGTTTACGTGTTTGGCTGCTCCTGTGGAGAAAGCTACACAATGCATACTACTAGACAACTTAACAAACATGTTGCTAACTATCTACCCACATGGTTATGAAGAGGATTGATAAAATCCATCAGAAGTTCAGTTTTCTCTCACCTCGTTGATAGTGATCACTTAGTAGATAAGAACAATCCCTTGAAGATTGTTCACCACATATTAGGTAATCATCTTTTGTAGAAGTGGTAGAAATTCTGACTAATGATCACAGTCTCTGTATCCATTAGAGTTTCTTTTTACATCCCTTATCTCTCTCTTGGCCAAAAAATACTTAATTAACAACTTTGTTATTGAGTTTTTTTCCCAACCCTTTCTTATTCTTCGCCCCTTTCATATAATCACTATATTTCGCTTGGTTGGACTTCAAACAATGCGACCCAGTAAAACAACAAAAAATTACAAGTATATCCATAAATAGTAGTAACTACTACCCGTTTTATAAGAGGTGCCTAACATGCCTTCGTGGTACATTTGATAATACCTTGGCGTTTGAAGCGATTGGTATGAAGGTTCAAGTCTCAGCAGGGGCAACATCTCTCCACATTGGGATGCAGGCACATCTATGTGACGAAGCAGTCGCAAATAGGACGGTAAGCGTATTCTGGATTCTTCTGCCAACCACACCTAAACAAATTATCATAACTAACATTCAGGTCGTATTTAGGCATCTCTATAGCAGCCCATATGCCAATGGAGGTCGAACTATTCTATCCAATAAAAAACCACAACGGAGAATTACAAGTACATCAATAAATAGTACAATTGTTTTTATATGATACCGTCTTTGCTTGGACTGAATTGATCGGTCTCTATTGGCATGTAGCCTCCCTGTGGGGACAACATCAATCACTGGGAAACAGGTTCATCCAGCTGACGAGTCCCAAATAGGACGAAATGCCCATCCTGGATTCCACTGCTACACACTGCCCATCATTAATATATCACTAAATAGTAATAACTCCCTATAAATGTTTAGACTTTGTTTATCCACCTAGAGTTTTTTCAGATTTTAATCATCTGAAGAAATGTTTTCAGAAACACTTCAAAGGTTCAAAACATACAAGAATATTATATTCTTTTAAAATGTTTCAAAATTTACTAATTATATATACTGAAGGTTCTTTGACAGTGTAAAATATAATCATCCTTTATATAATGTGTCTCTAGAGGACCCCATTTATGCGTAATTCCATTTACACTTATTTAAATGTGAACAGCGCGGAATCATACTGCAGTTCATATGGAGCAAAATATTAAGCCACGTCATGCTGGAGACACCAAAAGATACGCT